ACTGAAAATTAACACATCTTTTAATAACATTGCCTTAACTTTAATGGCACTCTGCCTTTCGTCTATAATTGCACGAAAATTGTCATCTTCCATGTCATATCTGCCATTTTTTATATTTGCTAGTTTTCATGGTGTGGATTTTTATTTTTAGTGTTTTTCTCTCATGAGCAATGAGAACTATTTCAGTTATTTTCTCCTGGATCTGCCTTGCTAGTGCAGCAGCAAGGAGTATGTTCTTGGGTCCAGCACAAAATCCTGCTGTTTGCTGCTCAGACAACACTGCTGCCACTCCATCTGCCTTGGCTGTGTCTGCGGACGGTCTGTCTGCTTGTGAGAAGGAGAAATGAGGGCTCTTGGGTGGAGTATAAGAGATGAGTCATGAGCATAAATTGCTGGCATCTCTGAAATGGCACTGGATTAACCTGGGCTGAGAGTTCAGCCTTCAACATAAGGCTCATCCAGGGTTTGGCCCTTCCGGAGGTTATAATATAAACAGAAAGGCAGCTGGGCCCATGATTCAGAGGAGCACATTTTCCCACCTTGGTAATACAAATCTAGGTATTTCTGACACTGAGGCCAGTTCGTGAGACATGAAAGCACAGACGCGTTCCTCCTGCAGACTTCTGACTCATCCTGAGTCTTAAATCTCCAGAGTATGTGTGCATGCATGCATGTGTGCAGGAGAGATAATGAGTACGCAGACACATACACACACACACACACACACACACACACGTGCACGTAAATAGCAAGTCTATGGTTCTGCTGTCACATGTTCACAAGGAGTTGTTCCCATCATATTTAAGTTGGTCTCAACTGATTCTTGGACAGTGGAAAACATAAACAAAGGGCTGGTAGAGTCAGAACCAGAAGCTTCTGTTCTCCTTGATGACCTTGTGCCACGGGGGCCCAAGTGCTTCACAAGTTCACAATCTCATTTTCTTATTTAACATTATTCATCGTTCCCCTCCAGTTTTCACCTCTACATTATCTAAGCAGAAAGAAAATTTAACAATCAGAGGCCATGGTCCATGGTTCACTTCTCTATCCTGAATCTGTAGTGTGGAGAACATTGTCATTTAGTAGGTGACCAATAAATGTACTGATTGAGAACAATAGCTAGAATACAGCTTTAGAGAACTGGCCATATGCTAAATACCTCATCACCACTTTTAACCATGACCACAGTCTCATAAGGACAAGTTAAGGAACATGTGTGATTATTATTCCATTTTAAAGATGACAAAAATGAGGCCCAGAGAGATTCTGGGATCATGGCCAGGAAGCTAATGTGAGTAGGGAGTCAGTGTTGTATTTTCTTATTCCAGGTGTCTAAGTGGAAGTAAAACTGGGATTGGGGTTTGGTAGAAGTGAAATTGGGTGAAAAAAAAATCTGAAGATTCACAAATAACTCTAAAACCAGACAAACTTCTTTCATTTTGTGTGTATATGTGTTCGGGGTGGGGGGAGGAAAAGAGAGGGAGAGAGAAGCAATCTAGGATTATTCTGAAAACTTCATTTCTCAATTGAAGTCTTCCTCTTAGAGGTGTACATACAGAAGAATAATTATTCCTCCCACCATGGGTTTCTGTTGCCGATCTGTTGGATGAAGCCACAAGATTGTGTGTATTACAGCTCTAAAAATTCCAAAAAAGTCAACGAAGAATCAAAACAGTATTCTTTTAGCAAAGTAGTAAGCCAGGAGGAATTTGTGGGGCCAGCCATGATAAGCTAATCTGGGAAGATCACCCAAAGGAAGCTCTTTACTTCCAACCATTATCACCTGGGACTCTGGCCATTGATGAATTTAAATGGAGTCTGGAGTCTCAATAGTTTACCCTGAGACAATGCCTGGCTGCAAGAGGAACCACAGGCTGAGACTGCCTGATCCCCACCCAAGAGCAGAGCATTCAAAGGAAATGCCTGGTATTCCAAGAGCTGTAGATAGAGACACCTGCCAGCACACCTCAACAGGACACCCCTAGACAAATGTCAGCCAACCAGGGGCCCTAAACCTCAAAAACTCTCACCTCTACTACTATAAAAACCCTATTCTAATTGAGCTTGAAGCTCTCCAGATATTTCAATACGATGGACATGCAGAAAGACCAAGTTTGCAAACTTGATTAAAATAAAGGCTCTTTGCTTTTACATATGGGACTCGGTCTCCTTTGTTGGCTTTTGTGGGGACCCTGCGGATTTGGGCATAACAAATTGAGTGATGATAGGTAATATTCAGAGAATATTCACTCCTTGAATAAATGATAACTTGGCTGGCAGTGCTAGAATGGGGGGAAATCACTGACATCCAGAGTGATTTGTGCAGGTTTTGGGATGGGCCATAGAAGGATGCAAACACTGATTATGACCTCTGCTCCTACCGTTTGGAGGTGCCTCCTTCTAGTACTTCCTAGGTACTGCTTTGGTATTTTTGACTGATTTAAAATTTTCATAAATGAAGTTGGGGGTGGAATACAAAGAAATCACCAGGCAGTACTTCTTCAAAAGGTCTGGATCTAACTGGACTTGTTGAGTCAGACTTCAATTGGAGGTTTTTCATCTTAGACAATAGAGCAAGATCTGGAATGATCTGGTTGGAATTTCGATTGGTGACTTGAAAAGGCACTGTCGGAAGGCCTGTTAATATGCCTTGCCCCAATGTTTAAATCATATTTGTTCACACTATGGTCTGAAAGATCAGACTGCATCACTGAGGTGCATCACATAGTCCCAGGTCCTCAATAACTACTCAAATGTTACCACTGATCAATATGAGGAACAGTACTAGGTTCCTGGAACCCTTTACTCTAGGCAAGAATGGAGAAGAAAGAAATCACTTTCAGGCAATGGCATCCACATACTCCAAGCCACTTTGTCCAAAACACTTCAGAAGAGTTTAGAGATGACCTTTGAAACTAGTTATTAGAAATCAGTTCATTTTGATTTGTCTGAGTTTCTGAGAACAAACTTTCTAATGATGCTATCAATGGTTAGCCTTGTGACTCATGCCAAGATGTGCCCTGCCTCCACACTGTCATATACAGACCTCCATGCTGTCGGTCATGTGTCCCTTTGACTATATACAAGTTTCAATTGCATCACTTAGAATCAGCACTGGTTGCATTATTTCAAAATTCTCAGTAATTTATGTAACATACACTTTAAAAATGATTCATCTTGTCCTACTTGGAGCACATTTTCTGTGTATAAACAAAAATGGTATAAATTTAAGTTTAAAAAAAAACCTTACAGTACTTTGTAGTTCTAAAATAAATCCGTAAATAGCTTACTAGTCTTTTAGTAAGAGTAGACTCCTGGAATGTTGGAATTAGGATCAGAATTAAAGTGGCATTTCTAAAGAGACACGATCCAGCCTCCTACGAAGAATCTGGTGCTTCACTGAATATAACTATGTAGCCTCTACTAGTCTTGCCAGCCTGTTCAAGAGTTTATATAAACTGAGCCAATATTGCCAGCCTAAAGTCAGTCAGAGCATTTCAGGAAACCAAGAGGGCCCTGCTATAGGGCACACTGACTCTTCTTATTGGCTTGGAAAGCCACCAGTCAACCTTAATTCAGATGAATTTTATTTCATACTGATTTTTAAGACCATATTTCTGACATTTCATTAAGATATGCTTACATTTATACTACATTCAGTAATATAGAATAACCTCAATTCATCTCTAAAAGCCCATGTCTTCATCTTTGCTCTTCTGGGATTATATTTAATGAATAGACGATAATAATGCATAATTAGCATATCAGTTGTTTAACATAATCAAGAGAACAATCTTCTTAGGCAATGTGAAAAATATATGTATGGAAAAACAGCTTCTAAATTCTGCTCATAGTTTAAGGCGCTCAATAAAACTCTGTTCCATGGGTTCTACAAAGGTCGATTTTTATCCAGCCCACAACTCCATTTTCACAAATTGTGAATCTGACTATTTCAAAATGAAGTGCATACTGTAAAAATAAAGACTCAGTGGGGCACGATTTCCAGTACCCGCTGTGGCCCATTCGAAATGACTGCTGCAGGGAACGGTGATGCCACTATGCTGGAGTCCACTATTAATTGTTACTTTTTGGGAGGTCACAAAAAATGGGAAAACAAATCTCATGACCACTTAATACACATCAAGTTACTAAACAAAATAGAACTGCTTTTAATGTCTCAGTCAATAATTCCCTTTGTTTACCAATGTCATTGTCCCTGCCCTTCAGCAAAGAAGAGCTCCATGCCTGGTCCTCATCCAAGGCCTACTTTTTTAGACAGGCAGGGACGTTGGTGTCACCCTTGGCAGGCTGTTCTGGCTTTCTATATTCTGTTCACATCTGGGCTATTCCAGAATGTTTCCAAGTTTACCAGGAACTACTCGAGCCCAGCCCCACCCCCAGCAGCATCACCATCAGTACTACTCTCCCTCCAGCTAGAAGAAATGCTTACGGAGCTAGAGGCAGCTCAGCCATTAAAAAAAAAAAAAAAAAAAAAGATAAGTTCAAATGCTTACGAAGATATCACTGCCCCTTCTCCCGCCCAATCTTGCTGTTCTAATCCATCTCCACCTACCAAACAAGGCAGCTGCTTTCAGACACAAATCAGACCACATTATTCTTCAGCATTAAGTCCAAAGATTCAAACCATGAAAACGGTTTTCAATGTCTTCCCTATCCCTTCCTCACTGTGCTTCTGCTTCCGTTGTCTTCCTTGAGACAGTCTCATATCTTGTTATGAAATCTTGTTTCCTTAAGGAGTGCTTTTCTAATCCTTCAAACCAGGTCATAGTTTTCCCTGACTTCCCTTTACTCTGAGGAATTTATGATCAGTATTTGAGTGATTGATATATATTGGTTTCCTTTGTAGAGAGAAAGGTTCGTGAACTTCTGCTATTCTCCATGTATAGCTCAAGCATCTGTCAATGGCTCCTTATTTGGGAGATGGTCCATGGGTGTGTATCCCACCCCTTGAGAGGAGAGGAAGAAGCTAGACAACTCACCGCACTCATGAGCGAGTCCAGGACGCTGACGGCAAATGCTGTCCCACATGCAAAGGGCTGTGTGAGGTACAGCTCCGTATCAGGGTCATCGTCATCGTCTTGGTCCAAAAATTGAACATTAGTATCATTCACTAGAAAAGGCATAAAGTAAGAATTAGCATTGAACACCACAAGTGTATCAGTGATGCCAGTGAGACACTAAGTGACTGGCTTAGAGACACTGAAGTTACTGCCAAAGAAACAAGCATGGCAAAGCTGTTGATGGATCTTGGGTTGGTGAGGAGTGGGACTCAAGGGCCTGCTCCTGCAGGAGGACTGTTTTAACTTCTAAGACCCTGAGAGCAATGAGATCAAGCGGGCTTGCTCCATGGCAACTGGTAAGGACTGGCAAGTTGATGGCATTGACCAGTCCTTGTTACAGTTTTAGAATCATGACCAAGAAATACCCAAGGGCATTTTTTGGTAGCCAAATCCTTTGATAGATGAACATCATTCAATGATGAATAGCCATGCTACAATGGTAAAGTTAGCCACAAAAAAAGAAAGCAACTTATTCAGAAGGAAAAGCAATAGACCAGAAACACAGCAAGGGTAAATGGCAAGGAATTTACCCTCAGGCAGGACCCACAGCTAGCCCCAAGGATGAACCCGGTAGTACCTGGCGTGCCTGGCCTCTGAACCCACACCCATACCCAATAGGTCCTACTAAACACTCAGGAATGGCTCCCGGCTGCCTCTGACTGTTTTTCAACTTTCTCTGCAAGGCTCCACACACTCTCTTTCCCCTTTTAAACATCCTTGTCTTTCTTATGTTCTAGAAGACATGGTCATAACAAGATGCCTTCCTTCCCTTCCTTCCCTGTCATCTGAAGAGCCCCTAAAGACTTCTGTGTGCACCCACAGACTGAAGAGTGGTGTCCTTCCAATATCTTTAGCTTATAAAAAATTAAATGAGAAATGAGCTTCTATTCCTATCTTGGCCTCAGACATGATCAATTTTGCAGTGCAAGTAATAGGGGGAAGTGTGTGGAGCTGGGGAGAGCACACTTAGGATTTCTGGAATAATTAAGGTGGTTTTGGGGAGAGAACAGATGAGGTTTCCTAGCTCTCATCTCTTTCTAAATCTATCTGCCGCTAATTCTCTTCCTAGAGTGATTGTTTTAATTTTTTAAAGGAACTTTCTTGACAATTTTCCTTTAAAAAAATTGTTTATTGCATGAGTCAGAATAAATGATAACAGGATAAAAAGCTAGGCGTGGAATTATTTTAAATGACACCATCTCCCCCCACCCCCGGAAAATGAGGCAAATCTTTTCTAGATTTGATGACGTTTGGGTCCCAGTCACCTCAGTGGCAAGAGAAATGCAGGACAGTGGGCTGAAGCCCCAAGTCTGGTTTGTCACCAGCTTCTCTGGCAAAGCATGTCATGATCCTAGAGCTATGCTGTTCTCACTGCGAAGTGGGGAAATTATGCAGTCCCTCCTGAGGTATCTCAGAGACTCCTCGGGAGCCACACTTGGTGAGTCTGCTATAGGACCCAGGGTATGCCGTGGAAAAATGGAGGCTGATACCATGATTGTCTATGGATCTATCGCACTATGGAAATATTCAGCCTCTCTCGGCTCCTCTCAGAAACAGAAAAAGAAGTTTACTTATGAACCCTCCAAATGGTTCTGTTAAGTTGAATTACGATTGACCCTAAGCTGCTTCCGTGCCTATTTCATGTTTGACTGAAAGTGTCTCTTTATGTCATGAACTGTGGCCCCACTCCACAGGGAGACTGTATAACCTACTCCGGTAATAAGTAGCTCAAACTCAACCAATCACGATGAGTGTTCAAACTAGATCCAAACAAGACAAGTTCTACCTGTAGCCCAGTCAAGGTGTCTCCATGCCACACACAACTGCCCTCAGTGTGAGCCAAACATAAGGAACCATTTCAGTATGGGCCCCTGCCATACTCTAGAATTATAAAGTGAATTAAGCTCTCGAAAGCGGGCACTGGATAAATGCTCCATGATTAAGAGTACTGGCTGTTCTTACAGAGAACTCGTGTTAACTTCCTTGCATCCACACCATGGCTCCAGGGAACCCAACATACTATTCTGTCCTCTGGAGCCCCATGAGGGACATACATACACATACACATGTGTGTGTATAGGCAAACACTTGTATGCATACAAGAGAAATAACTACTTTTTAAGATTTTTAAAAATCATGGTTGTTGAAAATTTTGCCTTATATTTTTCTTCTCTGTCTCTCTCCTCTTTCTCTCTCTAGACGGTGTCTCATATGTCCTAGGTTGGCTTCAAATTCACTATGGAGGGGAAGGTTAGAGAAACTTCTGGTCCTTCTCCACCTTTGCAGTGTAAGGATTCTGGGTGTAGACTACCACACCCAATAGATGAAGTGCTAGGGATTGAACCCAGGGCTTTATTAATGTTAAACAAGTGCTCTCCTAATTCAGCTAATCCTAAAGCAATAATTTTGTCTTTTGGTATTCTGAAAGTATGCTGTGAGGGCCACAGTATTTCTGACCTAGATCCAGAAAATGTCAGCTACAGCAGCTCACGCTTCAGACTATGGTTTTATTCATTCACAACAGCTGCTGCTGCTTGTGCCATCATTCCTACTGGAGCAGCGTCCCTTCCCTCTTCACAAGGAGATGAGAAAGAAATGGTGCTGTGTTATCAGTGTGGCCCGGGTCAGAGCAACAACTCTGGACTTGAGTGACTAACAGTGTAGGCTATGGGAAGGTGTCAAGGCAAGAGCAAGTTTCAGTGAAAAGCTTACCTGTTGTTCCAAGATGCCCAGTCTTAGGAAGTCCTTGTGCCTACTTCCCAGAATAGCAACTACATGGCTAATTAGAGTTGACAAGAACATTGCCCCGTCACACATGTGATTAAATATAGCTAGGAGTTAAGCAGCTACAAAGTTCTTTATCATGGAAACTTCAGGATTCTTTGCCATGAGAGTCTCAGGACAGATGAGAACTGGAATATACTACGGTCTTAAAATGTGTTTGGCTTTGTTTGCCTCTGTGTCTTTGTATGTGTTCATGTATGTATGTGTTCATGTACAGGTGTATGTGGAAGGTAGAGATTAACATGAGTTGTCTTCCTCAATCATTTTCTATATTATTGTTTGAGACCAGGTCTGCCAACTTAACCTGGAGCTCACGGATTCTGCTAGACTAACTGGACAGCAAGTCTTGGGATCCTTCCACCTCTGTCCTCAAGGGCTGGAACTACAAGATGCACATTGCCATACTCAGCGTAAATGTGCAGGCTGGGGCTCGGCTCTCAGGTCCTCATGATTGTACAGCAAGCACTTTGCCCCGGGCCCATCTCTCCAGCTCTGTCTCTGTGCAATCACGCATATCACACATCGCAGGGCAAGTGGCAGATGGCAAGTATGTGCAGAGGTGAAGTGGGAGGGGGAGTGGTGGGAGGACATTGGCGTGGCTACTAGAGACACTAGCCTTAAGAGCAGAAAGAACACGGGGCCTGATTCTAGGCGCAAGGGGGTAAAGTCTGGTGTGTGAGAGTGTCCGGGGACTTGGTAACCAAATTGCTGCCTTGTATCTGGAGCACCAAACTTTTTGCTTTCCTTTTACACTAATCAAATTCAGGATACTCTAGTCAGTTAATGGCGTACGGATTCCACATGTAAAAGAAAAGCCTTGGCATGGGTGTCTTCGGAAAGCCTCTGTAGCTATCTGTACCGGAGATGCTCGGGTGAATTTTCCATCAGTGATATGGGGCACATGAGTTCTCTTGGTCTTTTATGGTCCTATGGTTCTAAGTAGAAGAATGGGGAAATTCAGGCTTTTACCAACAATGCTAAACATGAAAAAGATACCTCTCCTATTGTCTGCAACAGTGTGGTACTCCTTGACCTGAGTGAATTTGTCCTGATTAATAGCGCTGTCTAACAACCATGCAGGGTTGCATGGTGGACAATTTAATCCTTCGTTTCTAGACATCTCACAAGCAAGATTACTGGCTTAAAAGCTTCCTCTCTTATTTTGAAATATATTTTGGGGCCAAGAAAATGGAGTGTTCATTTCATCTGTGAGTCAAGTGAAGGCAGGTGCTCCCCACCCCTCCTCCCACATCTCTGCTGAGGAGCCCTTTGCTCTGTCTATTTAGGAGATCAATCTCCAGTGCTGAAACCTCCTGCTGATGGGCACCCTTTGTGGGTTATTAACCAAGTCAAGGGGAACCATGGAAGGGCCTGACAAATGCAGGCATGACCAGGAGCCTTTATCTTCTAGATAAATCCACTGTGAATCTCCCAGGGAGGCTTTGGATCAGCAGGGTGGGGGCCAAAAGGTAGGGTCCCCAGCCTGTTCTGCACCCTTCTTGGAATCTCGCTTTGGTAAGAAAAGATCCCCTGGGAACCAGCTGCTTTTTATGGCTTCAGAAGCCTAACTTCTGAGAAAGGGCCTAGTGGAGTGGGGGAGGAAAATAAAGTCAGAATAAAGAAAAATAAACAGCTGGAGGGAAGGCACGGTCTAGGATTTCTTATCTTAAAATTTTTATATTTTTTCTTTGACTTCCTCTGAGAGCTGTGAAGACATGTCAGTCAAACTGACAGCATGGTGGAAGCGGAATATAGGGCGGAGGCGGGGGAAAGGGGGCACATGTGGGATTTAAAAGAGAGGGAGAGAGAGGCTTGGGCCACAGAAAAATGAAACAGAGCAGAGATGCCTTGCAAGGCCCTGCCAGGTCAGATGGGTGTGATCAAAGGTTTACCGAGGCTGTGGGGAAAATCATTAAGAAAAGGCCAGAACAAGACAGTCGATTCCAGCCAGAGCCGCAAATAAAATGCATTCAAAGCAGTGCCATGGGGTAGCCTTTTCGTTACAGCCAGCGAAATGAAGGGGGAGAAAACCAATGAGAGCTGGAAACACCAAGATCAGAACAAAAGAAAATACTGATGTCAAGAAGGCAAGCACTTCTTACCCAACTCCGTTATCATTAGAATGTGCGTCCCACTGTTTTTTTCCTGATTGACTGATACCAAAGGCAACTTGCCTGGTTTAGCTAATTGGATAAGGCAGTTAAGGGTCAGGGAAAGGGAGTGGAGGGAAGTACAGAAAAGAAAAAGGAAGAAAAGAGTGAGGGAACAATAGGGGATGCATTCTCAAGCTAAGCCACCTGGACAACAGTGTACTGTCAGGGCAAGGGCCATTCAGTGGTTTTATAACTTCGCAGAGGGTACCAGAGAATGGCACAGACAGGTCAGAGGTAGGGTTTTATTAGCTATAGATTATAGCATTCAAACCCTGTGCCCTTCAGTCATATTTTGGCCATTTTTTGAAAATGACCTTTGGTGAGAATCTCAGCAGGGTGGGGTTGCTACATAGTGGAGCAAACAAATATTTGACTGAGTTCTCACAGGGATCCGTTCTCAGGTGGGATCGGCTCAGTCCTGAGCTTCTGAGCAGGGTTTCAACTACAGGAGCCATTGAAACAGAACCCTCAGAAGAGGCACCTTCGGGAAGAAGTCTCCAGAAGAGCCCTTGCCTCCTTTCTTCCCCGTTCCCAAATGGATGCCCCAGTTCCAAAGCCATTCTCATGCTCCTTTGAAAACCATGGCAAGAAGGAAGGAAACTGTCTATTTCTCTCCTGGGAAAGACAGAACAGTTTGTCCTTCAAACAATCTGTGTATCTCCACTCATCATGCCTTACCTTTGCCACTCCACCCCAAACCCATGATGACCAAAGGACTAAAGAACAGGCCAACCTCCTCATAATCTGGAAGACAAAAACATCCACCCACTGAGCTGACTAGAACTCCCTACCGAGTTCTGTGATGATGGGGATGTTGACTCCTGTTGTGATGGACGGCTGGCGCAGCATCCCGTGCACTGGGCTGTTGTCAGGAGATGACCGGTCCATTCCAGGAGGTGTGAATCCTAGTGGGGAGAAATTCAGAGAAGTAGAAAATCTGGAAACGATAAAACCACAGAACCCTCACAATCTAGTGGATGTATTATTGACAGGTCACCAATTAACACAGGATACATTCTGAGGTTTTTTTTTTTTTTAAGGCCATTATAGGAGACATACTTGAAGAAATTTTAACTTACTCTGACACCTTCGTAAAAATCCAGATCACATCAGGATACATGCATCCTACTCATAGTTTTCCCTCTCCGACCAAGTAGTCACCACTGTGCCTAGTTGTCCCTAGGCAGTCAGAACTATGGTCACATACAAAGTGTTCTTGCTCATGAAAAGTGAGCAAAGAAACACACATCACGTCTGACATAAGACTTTGTCTCCTCCTTCTCTTCCCAAAGCACGTCTAATATGAAGACGTGGATCACTATGGAGGTGGAGCTAGGACAGTCTCAAGCACCTGTCCTGACCCAGAAGACTCTCTGAGTAAGAAACAGTGATGTGCTCTTGTAAACCACTGAAACTGCGTTTGTGTGTTGTTACCGCAGCCTATCTAAACTCATTCTGACTATTCTCTTCTGCTAACTCACTGCATTTCTTTCTGCTCACAAGGAACTTAGGCCTAGGATTTGAAATGGTTCTGGCTTATGAGACGTGAAGGTAAATCTGCCTGGAGGCTTTCAGCAATTGTTCCTTGGTCTTAAAATAAAATGCATAGGAAGATACTTCGTTTGATTTCCCCTACACATTTTTTTTCATATGCTTGCAGTTCCTAGACCTATGATATCCCTCCCCCAACTAGGCTGAACACCTATTGAATACAAAAGTCACTTGTTAATACTGTCTGAACTGAGTCATAAAACTAGTCTTGAATTCCTGAGGTAACCAACCTAGTACTATCTAGAGATCATGAGATTTATGGAAAAGGTAAGATTGGAAATGTCAAGTTTAGTAAAGCAGAGACTTCCCTCCATCCAAGCCCACTGGGTCCCTTGTTAATGATGCAGGCAAAGACATAGAGGCACGAAAGCTCTTTGCATCATGCCCGCATTGTTCAGAAAGTTGTTTTCCAACTGAAGCACACAGTAACTGGATCTGTCAGCTCTGTGCTATCATTTACTTTGGTTTGTTTTAGTTTTTATTTTATTTAATTAAAAAATAGTTTTGGAGATATGTATATGTGTATGTATATGTATATATGTAGCCATGGTTAGTCTGAGTTCACTCTGTAGACCTGGCTGACTTTGAACTCACAAAGATCTTCCTGCCTCAGCCTCCTGAGTGCTGAGATTAAAAGTGCTTACTGCTATGCCTGATTCTTTGGTTTCTTATCTCTATATGGGCCTACCAATAAATGAAGGACTTAAAGGTACAAAGATACTTGCATGGTTTCCAAATCAAAACTCCAGAGTGATCATAGGATCACATTTTACAGTCAGTACTTAGTAACGGGACAAGGCTGGGCTGATTCGGGCTTTGGGGACGTCTTCTGCTCAACAGCTGTCCTATCCTTTCGGAGGCTCATATAAGCACAACGGGCTGGAGACTTTTAAGGGCACAAGCTTATTTCCTGCTCTCCTTTATATAAATATCCTACCAAGATCTATACTTTCATAAGGAACAAAAAAGTATCTATTTTCTGACTGCACTTAATTTTTCTGGAGTATTACAATAGCTCAAACAGACTAAGTTGTAGTCAATGAGTTAGTATGTTCACTCTTCCTAAACTTTGGAAAGTGTCTATTTTCCAGCCAACCATATAACCATATGTGTTTTAAACGTTAGCTGTTTTCTTTTCTCCGAACAGTGAAGGGGAAGAAATAAACTGTTTTCATCAGAAGTTGCATTCAGAAGCATGGAAAATTGCAAGGGACAGCTGTGCAGATTCCGTGGATGTGACGTTTTTGACTTTCTTCAACTTGACAAGTGAACACCTTGCATCGGTAATGCTCTATGCATAATACATGGCCTGTATTTTGACATCCATCATCAGACACTGACTGGAGAAACTATGGGTGTGTTCCTTGAGGTGCAGCACCCATAAAGCGGCAGAGATACAGGTCCCACAGTGTTAGGAAAGCTGTATTTCACTGCAGAGTCTGTAACCAGCCGAAGCAGCCTTTTATTTTATCTCATTTAAAGATTCCATTTTCCGCTGTGAAAAGATTCAATCCCTTTGCATAAAACCTTCATTAGGAGACGGCACACTTGCTTCCTTCCTAGGCCTTTTTCACTTTGCTTTCATTCTCCATTTCCCCCTGCAGACTCCAAGACTGGCTCCATCAAGCGTCTGCAACTGACAGACTGAAGGCTAGCCAGCTATCCTCCCTGAAGATCTGTCTCTCCATCCGGGACCCCAAGGACAGATACTAATGTTGACACGAGAACGTTCTGTTTTGCAACGTTTCTGCCCTCACACTGTGTGTGTGTGTGGGGGGGTGTTAACAAAAGTATAGATTGTCTCCCTTCCTCTCATATAGTAGTAGCAATGACTCACACATGATTAGCATTTTCCCCCTTAGGGGCCCGACTATAGGAAAACAATGTTGTGAAGAACCAGGGTGTTGTGGACTTCCTAAATGACTTGGAAGAGAAGAGAAATCTAGATATATTCCATCTGAAGGAATGAGGAATAAGGATGACCTGAGATATCATCATTTTGGTCATGGTTGACAACACAGGTCTCAACAATGTTCGGGTCTCCACCCCTTTAAATGCTGGCATCACTTTATATCTCTACATAAAACAACACTGGTGTTCTGCTTGTGCAAGCCAAGACATGTGGCATATACCCCAGGGATCTGCAGTCAGAGACCAGAAAAACTGGGAAATGCTCCAACATGGGAGACAAGCCTTCATTTCGCCAAAAGAAATCATTAAGAACATCAGCGTTGGAGAGCAAGACTAAGAAACCGCACTCGGAAAAGACTGAACTTGCATTTGTGGATTGCCTATGTTCTTGCTTAGGCTCTTGACTGTCCTACAGTGTTAATACTGTACTCCATGGATGTGCTAGATATGACTTCCCCAGACTGCTTCCAGGGAATCCCCACCCCCAGCCCAATGCCAGTCTTCAGTGGCAGCTGTGCCTGGCATACATCTGTTATCCACTGAACATCAAGCATCTCCGCCTTGACTGGCACTGTCTCGAGCCAGACACCCGCATTTCACATGCTGGCGTTTCCTGTTTAGCTGGGCTCCAGGCTTATGTTTAAGAGGCCTGCCTCACAAAGAAGAAATAAAAGGGGCGAGTGAAAAACATCATTTTGAAGCCGATGTCTTAGGTTCTAATTCTGGTTCTTTATTTCTCCGTCTATTAATTTTTAAAGATATTTTACTGCATTTGGCTAGTTATTTGGGTAGTCCATGCATGTATATAATGAATTTCGATTGCTCTCTCCAGTACCATTTACTATTTTCCCTTACCCTTCTCCATCCCTTTCTCAGATTCCCAACGTTTGGTTTTGATTTTTGACCCATTTAATTTAGTCAGGGCCACCTGTGTGACCACTGGATTGGGACTATCCATTGGAGCTTGGTGGAGTTATCAGGGGTTATATGACTAAAGGCTATGTTTCCCTCTTCATTGAATCTACCAGAAATGAGTAGTTCAGTAGTGAGGGGTATAACTCTGAGTCCCTCCTCCATCCATGCCTGACTGTTGACTGGTCCCTGAGGGTTACACTCTGAGTCCCTCCTCCATCCATGCCTCACTGTTGATTGGTCCATTGTTGTACAGACTCACCAAAGGCACCTGTGGCTCCTGTGAGCCTGTGATAGCTCTGGGCATATTTTGCAAAGAAAGTGTTCTTTTACATTCCTTCTTATTGCCAGGCTCTTACATTCTTTCTGTCCCCTAAGCCTTAGAGAAAACAACACAGATGACTTGGGTTAACTTTGTAGATATAAACACAGCACAGCCAATATTCTCACCAGGTCTCTGATTCTTCATCTAAAAGTCTTAAGTAACCTTTACACAAGGAATCTGAAAGGCAGAAGTAAAATGTGTCATCCCTAGGATGAAGCAAGTACTCAAAACTGCTGTCCACCAATGACAATATGATAGTAGATATACAACAAATACTTGTGCAGAGATCCAGCACCCATCAAGACCCTTTCCTATGGGTAAAGAACTGAAAAGCATTTGATAAATTTTCTAAAGAAGAATTTGTCTTAGAAAACTAATGAGAAACCAAGAATCATAGCGGGTGTTTTGTTATAAATAGATTAGTCCTGTAATAATATTAACTAGGATAACAACAACAACAATAAACAATAATAATAAGTAACAATGCAGCCGGAAATATCTCAAGAAGGAACCTGGATATTGGGAAGGCTGAGGTTTTCCTCAGATTTACAGGAAACTGGTGGCCAGTCTTCACAAAGGAAAGGTTCTCAGCTTCAACGAGCAACTACGGCCCCTTCTTGAACTTTCTGTCTTCTAGACCTAATTTCTGGCCCCTTTAATTAGGTGGAAGTCATTTGCTCCTTAGGCTCCTGAAACTGTCTTTACCACTCTGCTTTTTTCTGGCACCTGTGTTCCAGACACAGCATCCCTGCTGGACTGAATGGAACAAAGCCAGCCACAACCGACCTTCTCTGGATAGTAGTCGTTTTGTATGCTGAATGAGTGTGGGCTCAGTGGGGAGAAGAGAGGACAGTGGAGCACCAGTAAGTGCCAAGTTCAGAGAACTGTACTCTAGTGTGGGTGGCTTGGAATGAAAGAATTTCACACAAGCACTTGGCTGGTTCCTGCCTAGAGCTAGTAGAAAAGACAGGAAAAAGTGACATCAAGGTTTTTATCTACTAAAAAGTTGTTTCCTCTCCCACATGAGGCTCGGGGAACATTTCGGAAAGGGTGGGTAGAAAGACAGCAAGAGCCATGGGTCAGGGAGTTTGCTGTGAGACTGTGTCTCCTCCTAGTAACATCAGAAGTCACACCCACAATGTCTTACCAATATGTCTGCCTAAATGTGAACTGGACAAGAATGACACCAATGGCCAAGTCAAAGTG